CCTCTCTCTCCCTGTTGGTCTTTAATGTTGGGGGTTTTTTTTGCGGGGGTGGGTGGGTGGGAAGTGCATGTATATGTGAGGAAAATATGGCACCTCCATGCACCTATTGTTGTGTGCTTTCTGTGAAGCATGAGTCAAACTGCAGCTGTTGCCAGAGGAGCACGTTTCACTTCCAGACTTTCACATGCAAGTTGCGCCTGTGGAGGGAACAGACAGCATGATCCTAAATTTTTCAATAAGCTGCTTTAACAACAGTATATTGCAGATGCAGACATGAACATTGGTACGTGCCTGCCTTTTTATCGAGGGGAAGCCTGTGTCTGAGTAGAGCAAAGTAGTTAAGCAGTCAACAGCATTTTTTTTTTTTTAAACTTGCAGTCAGGGTTTTGCCTTTGAAAGTGAGTGCAGCCACAAATTAGCTTTGTTTTTATGGCTTGTTCTTGCATCATGATTAGCTTGATAGCACCATGATTTTGCATGCTCCAGGATAACAGTACTCCACCTACTATGTTAATCAGTATTACCTTGTCTTAAGTCTCTCAATCCTGCCATGGTGCATGTGTATCTGACAGCACAAGCTTGATACTTGGGAGAAAAGGCACGTATATCATTGTTGCTGTATCTCTTTAAAATTCCTTGGGTACTTGAAAGCAGTCATACTCATCTTTGTGCTGTCAGGACTGTCATAAATTTAAATAGTAGGATGCATATAGATCTTGTTGACCATGTTTCTCTCTTAGCTGCAGGAAATGCATTCTGTCAGGCAGCCAAACTCCATATGCAACTACAGAGTAAACATGACTCGGCCACCTGTTTTGTGGATGCTGGGAACGCTTACAAAAAAGCAGATCCACAAGGTAAGACAAAGGAAATGCCATCCAAGGTTTTGCAAATCCTGTTACTTGCATAGTAACAGGCATGCTGGGTTCCTTTTTTGAGCTACTTTATTTGGTCTTCCCTATAGTCTTCTGCACAGTGCTGAGAAGTGTAGTCTTAGACTATCAGCTCCTTCATGAAGAAGGGAAGGAGCAATATTTTATTTAAGATTCTGCAAGTCATGCTAAATTTATTGTGTTTGTACCTGATTTTAATTCAGTTTGAAGTACAACTCCTTTTCCACCAGCTGGATCACATTAGAACTGGTTTGACCCATACACATATCTGGAGATTTGCAAGTTTAAAGAAATAGTATGTATTTGTTTCTGTTGTATGTTGTGAGCCAGGCTGTATTCTGTTGATACTTGCATACATTTAGAGTGAATTGGGAGACTCCAGGAGTTGCTCTGGTTTTACTGTGGGGTAACTGAGAGCAGAATTTGGACCTTGTCTCTTCCTAAGCCAAGGAAGTTTAGCAGGGTGGTGGATGCACTAACCTCCAGCAGTGATAAGGGTGCTTCATATCAGGCCACAGAGATCCTGTTTGACTTCCTGAGCAATCATCAGTCACTGTTCTGCTGGGAGACTCATTAAGCTTCCAGGCTGTGAAACGCACAAGTCTATTTCTCCCTTGTTAAGCTTCAACGGTTGCTGGAACCACTTTTTTTAGTTCTGTACCACACCAAAGTGCCAGCACAAAATGAGCCTTGTAAGCAATGCAGATATAATGCCAGCTGTCTCTCTAATTCTATTTCAGTATTTTTACCTACCTATGGTTGGGATTTTTGGGCTGTATGGTAAGAAATACCCAAATATATTGCCCCATTCTGTTGTGCTCAAGCCATTGCTGCTGTTTCTTCCTTTGGTTTAAGTATTGAAACCAGAGCTTGATCACTTACCTGCATGAAAGATGATCTGCACTAGTTATCAGTGAAACTTTTTTTTTTTAAATTCCTTAAGCCAAACTCTGAGCTTTCCTTTCAGTGTACCATATCTACATTCTGCAGAGGTAGGAGGTCTTGAGACTAAGGCAGTTGGTCTTTGAGTAGATCTTAATCACATCTGAGAACTTTGCCTATTCCCTATGAGAGGCAACACAGCTAAATGGTAGGAGCAAAGATGCACTGTAGTATGGAAGGGCCCTTTCAGAGGATGAATGAGCATCTTGGCTTCATTGTGTTGCACAACATGGACTAATAGCATGTCTGCATATTTCACAACAGATCATGTAAAGGATATAACATTCTTGTTGTTGGTGAGAGCCTATGATGATTGATCACCCCAGAAAGAAGCAGGACTGTGACACAGTAACATATTGCACACATTTTAGGAGATGCCAGTTTTTGTTGGGGAGTGGAAAGGGGCAGGGCTGTGCAAAATTTTGCTGGGTGTCTCGTTTCAAAGCTGTTTTGACATGTCTTGAAACAAAACAACTTCGAAATGAAACGAGGGCACTTGAAACATTTACAAAGTTTCTAAACGTTTCGCGTTTCAAAGCTGGGCTTACTTGGCTTCAGTGCAGGTCCCAGGTGGCAGCGGCAGCCTCCTCATCCAATGCGCAGATTTGGGGGCTTGCATCCCCAGAGGAGTCTGGCACAGCCCAGCAGCCCTCCCGGAGGTGCAAGCCCCCAGATCACCCTGGATGAGAGGAGGCTGCCACAGCCACCTGGGACCAGCGCTGGGTGCAGGCTGTGCCCAACACCAGAGAAGATTTGCCACTGTTGTTGCCTGTCACTTCTAAATTTGCAAACAAACCTGTCCTAATGTGAGCTGCTTTTCTGTTTTATATAGTAATAATATCGACAGAGCTCTTGTGAATTTACCAGCAGCAGGTATTCTATTACCCTGAAGTCTTGTTTCTTTTGTGCAGAATTTTCAGAAGCAACGTAATGGGTCCCGAGGATAGGTAGAGCAAGGAAGGGACCGTTTTTCATTCGCACCCCAGATTTGAAGGTTTAATTTTTTTCAATACCAAAATGTTGTCAGGACAAAGAATCAGTTTTGCATGTGGGTAGTACATTTCTCCATGGACTCCAAGTGTTCAGCTTGACCAGATGTTCAGGTATGGGTGCACTTTGTCCACACAATGCATCTCCTGAGAGGGCTTTCTTCGATCAGTATTTTGGTCACATGGACTGTGTGCCTGTATTTCCAGAGCCTGGGTAGGTGGCCACTTGAAGCCATCCATTTTGTTTGGTGGTCTGATCAGACATGTGGAAGGTGAAACTGTGTTAAATATCTGCCTATCTCTGCTGACTCTTTTTTTTTTCCCCCCCCCGCCCCCAAATGCTTACGCTGCAGAGGCCATCAACTGCTTAAATGCAGCTATTGATATTTACACAGACATGGTAAGAAGCAGCATTGCTAGGGTGGGGAAGTTGTGGGGGGGCGTGAAGAACTGGTTGGTATCCTGTTGTGTAACAGCTTAGATGCATATCTTGCAACCTGGCTTGATTTAACCACTTTTTTGTATTTAAAGATGTACATACTTGAGGGAGAGAGAGAACCCTGTGTGCATCACCATTTGTGTTCCTCCTAGGGCCGGTTTACTATTGCTGCCAAACATCACATCACCATTGCAGAGATATATGAGACCGAGCTGGTTGACATTGAAAAGGTAAGCCTTTTGCACAAGCAGGAGTCCTCATTGTTACCATACTTTTTGTGTTAACATGGTATTAGAGCTGTGGGAGATGGTTCCACATCATGCCTCTGCCTGCAGAAACTTCCCAGAAGAGTCCAATTCCAGACATTAGGGTCTGGCTTAGGTGTGGGTAATGTGAGTAAAGTTAGTGTGATTGATGCAATTCGGTGATTTAGTAAAGTGTTTTGGAGTTGTGGACTGCATCAGCCCTGCTTGAATCCCAGACTGGCTGATGCAGTTGACCCAGCGTACTGCCCAGCCACAATGCAAGCAAACCCCCTCGGTTACTTGGCTGTGGCACGGTGTGGGCAAACCCCCCCGGCTTTGCAGGCCAGATCCAGTGGCTCTGGGGTAGAAGTGACATTGGGATTGAAATCAGTAACTTTTGTGGCCTTTCCCTTGTGCTGTTCTCCCCCTCCCATCCCTTCCTAGCAAGTTCCTTTTCTCGTAAGCAGCAGTCTAAGCTACGATACCAGCCTGCAGGCCTGAAGCGGAGGGGTGCTTAGAAGTGGCATCTCCTGTACAGTCCCCCAGACTGATAGCTGCTCTTGGTTTACATTTAGTGCTATACAAAAATCATGGACTAAATATAGACATTGGATTTATGGTACATTATAACCTGCCTGCCATAACCCCAGGTAACCTCTTTACATTTTACCAACTACATTCCATCATGATGTCAACATTGCCCTCTTTTCCCCCAGCTACCTGTCTCTTACCTATTGTCTCCCATCCCTTCTAATCTTTCCAGCCACACATCTGCATTTTCACAGATCTGCATTTTGCATATTGACTTATACTTCTTTTCCACCCAGGGGAGTGCACAAACACCAGCAGGCTCTCCCCATGCCTGAAGAAGGGAGTTTGTGCCCTAAAGCTTGCAAAGAACAATTTTTCCAACTATTTAGTTAGTCTAATAAAAGAGATCACACTTACCTGAAGACCCTTGTCTGCTTATAGTAGCAAGGATCTTATTTCGGACATGATGCAGATGCTGCCTCGCAGGTCAGTGTAAAGGCATTTGTGAAACTGCTGGAGGAGCTGGAATCGCCCAGAAGCTGTCTGTATGATTACAGCTCTTGCATGGCTGGGAAAGAAAAGAGATTTCAAGCCCCATGTCTGTCACTTAATCAGATTAAACCAGACAAGAGAGACTCTTCCTTCACTCTGCAAGCAAAGGCCAGTTTACAGCCCCAAGGTGATGTTTGTTTGTGCTGAGCACAGCAAATAGCTCCCTGCCCTCTGCATCAGTCCTGATCTGAAGCTCCAACAGAGCTGGTGCAAAGTTCTGAGTCTCATTGAACCTTGGGGTGTTTGTAGATGTGCTGGGAGGCTACTCCGATCTGCTGTAGTTATGGCGTGTCAGAGAGACTCAATTTTAATAGTCTGCTGGAGCATGCTAATTGGTGTGCTCCAGCTAGCCTCTGCATCTTGTGTATCGGCATCCCCATACTTCAGAATGGTGGCAGTGGTGCTTTAACTAAAGCTTGTTCGATGACCAAGGCTTTAATTATTCTTGGTCATCTCGGAGAATGTTGCAAGAGTAGAGAGATGAGATCCATTACCTCAAAAAGCATGTTTGGGAAGCACTGCATCAGCTACTGCAGAACCACAGGAGCATTTTTGTAAGGCAGGGGGAGCTGAATGACATGATGCGTTTAAAGTAAAGCAGCTGATAGCCACCTTGAATATGGCTGCCAACCAAATCTTTGTTCTAACCGCAACGTATAGAATAATGAAAGGGCTGTCCTTTTTTACAGAGACTGACCAGTTCTTCTGTCATCAGCACTTGGTATCCAGTATGCAGTGCTCTAGATGCCGGCTTCTGACTCTGGCCTATAAGATCTAGTTTGTATTCTTCATATCAAGCTTTAAAGTGAAAATGAGTTTGAGCTGATCGTTTTGTTGCAGACCCTGCCCATTCATCCCTAGGAACTGAATATTTGACAATGCAGTGGTGGGCAGGCACGGTACCTCAGCTTTCCTAGAAATTATAGAATAGGGCTGGAAGGGATCTCCATAGGTCATCTAGTCCAACCCCTTGCCTGAGTCAGGGTCATCCCTATCTATATGACCTCATAAAAATCGACAATCGAATATCTTAGTAAAACTACCATCAATCCTGTCACAACACAATACAACCTCTCTGAAGAACTTTGCAACATTTTCCTGATCTCCTGCTAGCTGCTTATTGAAATGTTGGCCAGATCCTGAACTTTTTGACTAACTTTTAACTTGGATCCAATATCAGCTTTTATTGTATTAAAACAGGGCCACATACACTTTGCAAGTGGCTAAGCTGGTGCCTGAGCATGCTGGCTTTGCTGACACAGTGGCTGGGGGACATTGAGCGGCTAGTGATGCTTTGGCTGCTGGCACCGACACAGCAGCTGTGGCAGCTGCAGTGAGAAACCCTGCGTTTTTCAGATCCAGCCTACCATATCAGATGAGCTGGATATGCCTGTCTTTAAAATATCCCATCTATTTAATACTTCATCCAGTTTTTTTGCAGAAGTTCCAGTGACCACTGAGCAAAATTCATATTAATTATCCATCCAGGTGTGTGTTATAAATAAGGTGGTGCAAGAGTGATGTAGCCATGATGGTCCACAGATTATGCCAGAAGCAAAGACTACTTAGGGTGATAGCTTTTATTGGACCAGCTATGTAGCTGGGATAAAGATAGACAAGATTCTGAATGCAAAACATTCTTCATCTTTTGACTTTCAGTGAATAATGTCTTGCATTCAAAAGCTTGCCTAATGTTTAAACCAGCAAGTAGTTGGTCCAGTGAAAGAGATCACCCTCAGAAATCCTGGCCTCTCTCTTTATTATAAATGAAATGCACACAGTCAGTTTGTACATGAGAGGTCTTTTTATAGTTTTTTTATGGCAACAGAAGGTTCTGTTCTCACTTGCTAAAGTGCTGGTGGGAAGCTGTTACTGTCTGATGCCTGCCTAGCCTGGCAGAAAAGCAAGGTGGTGTATACATGTGACATCTTAACAGAGGGGCTGTTTAGAACAGCAGAGTGGAGAAGGCTAACATCACGTGTTGGACAATGCAGGTTTCAAAATACCTTTTATCAGATCCCTGGAGCCCTTGCTTAAGCAAACTTCTGTTGTTGGTTTTTTGTTTTGTTTTGTTGTTTTTCTCAGTAATACTCCTGTCCAAACATATCTAGATTTCTGCCTGCCTCATCACTTAGATCAGGCTTGTCACTGTGGTATCTAAGAGGAAGTTAGGCTTCTCTGATTTTAATTTTAAAAACTTAGCCATGACTTTTGAGCAACGTGATACCTTGCAACTTGTATCTAATACCACCTACATTTCACGTCCCCATTTGTACCTGAGACTCGCTGAATGAAGTTGTTAATATTATGGCATCCTGTAAATCTCTTGTTCTCAAGAGTACCGATGTATGTCGTCAATTGTGCATGCATAATGATAGTACATCAGGAATCTCATCTTCTATATTTCAATTTGAGAGGCTTGCCTGATAAATTCTACTTCTCATAGCAAATGTCAGATCCTGTCAACTCCTACTCTTGATCTTGGTGTTCAGTGCCCATACATAATTATTGAGAAGTAGAGCTGGAAGGGATCTCCAAAAGTTGTCTAGTCCAGTGTCCTACTGAAATGCCACTGTCTTAGTAATATGCTTATCTTTTCATTGGAATACTATTAAAGTAGTTGTTGGCATTGTGAAAACCTATGTCAGTAATAGCATGTCTCAAATGGCAGAGCTCTCTCTACACTTTCATTAGGATCATATGCAGTAGGGCTGTACAAAGCTTCGGTCCCTGATTCAATTTGGCCCGTTTTTTAGTGGCCTAATCTCTGAATCTGAATTGAATTGGAGGACCCTTTAATCTCTCCGAATCAAATCAGAACCATCCAAATAGAGAGATTTGGACATAGACACAGCTTTTAAATGTTTTTTATACATACCTCTAGGTAGCAGGCGGCTCGTGAATGCTGTGATGCTGGGGTGCATGGAGTGTCCCACAGGAGCACAGGGGGCAGTCCCCAGTGTGCTCAGTAGCAGACCCAGAAGCGGACCAGAAACACTTGGTCCACTTCTGGTCAGCCGGAGAGCACGTGGGGAGGCCTCCCACGCCCTGGCTCGGCGACTGGTGTCTTCTGGATCTGGGGCAGCACCTGGGGTCCCCCTGTGCATCGCTGAGCCAGGTGGGTGCGGGGGGACCATGCAGGGTGCTCCCTGCCGGACCCGGAAGTGGACTGGAAATACTTCCAGTCCACTTCTGGACTTGCCACCGAGCACACAATGGGCCACCCCGAGCTCCTGTGGGGTGCTCCACGCACCCTAGCATCACGGTGTTCGTGAGCCACGCCTGGTACCTCAAGGTATGTAGAAAAAACATTTAAAGCTTTTGTCTATTTCCGAATTGCTGATTCTCTGAATTGAATTGGGGACAGTGATCCGAATCAATGAATCGAATTGCTGTCCCTGATTTTTGGGCCAAATCTGAATCGATTATGGTCCATTTCACATACCCCTGATGTGCAGTAGTGAGACCTGTAGTTGTAGTAATATTTTTGAAGGCTGGAGGTCTCTGACTCCAGTGGAGGTGGATTGCAATGATTTGGCACTGAAAGCCTACAGAAAAAGAGCATTGGGATGTCATACCTTCCCTTTAAAACCTGAGGAATTTGGATAAATCCACATTTTCACAATACATTTTTTTTCTTCTAAAATCTCATTATCAAAACTGATATGCAAAAGGAAAATATTCTTTTGTTTTTCAGGCAATTGCACATTATGAACAAGCTGCAGATTATTACAAAGGAGAAGAATCCAACAGGCAAGTCTTCATAGATTAAATTATTTTAAGCAGGAAAGACTTTTTAAACTGGATTTATCTCGTCTGCCTATGAACCCTGCCCCTGCCCATGACTGGTACTAAATTTGCATTGTTATTGTATGCTTCTCTAAAATTGAAGCTTTAATGAGATACCTGAATCTACATCAACATTCTGAGTTTGGCACTCGGATCCACTGGCTTTCATTTGTCTGTCTGGCTATCAAAATACAAATCTTTGGGGTCCTATTGAGGTGCTTGCCTTTGAAAACGGACTTGCCTTTGTTTAGATTTTAATGTTTGCTGTACAGATGGGGTGGGATGGTTGAATACACATGCCATTTAGTCTACGTGGGGCTCAAGATATTATTGCAGACCCCTAGAAAATCATTTTATGTAAATCTGCAATAGGCCTGGAGAGTAATAAGGTCTTGCTAGGATTTTTTTTTAATTTGGGCATTTGGAAAATACATGTTTCTAATGGGTAACTCTACCGGGCAATGGTTTTAAATGTGTGCACTAGTGAT